AACAAGCGACCTCCCATTGGAGTCACAAATAATTTTGAACTTAAATTAGAGTTTTGAACTTAAATTAGAGATTTAGAGTCGACCCCACTACAATTTGGCTGTTCTAATTGAAATAGAGGCGAGGTTTCCTACGAGTGATTTTTCATACCTTATGTGGGTTTATAAAGAAACTAGAGTGAGTCTCTATCAATGAACCTTTTGAAACATTACGTGTGAGCCCAGTTTTTTTATTTTTATTTTTATTGAAAATAAGGTAAGAGAGGACAAACTTACGGACAAAGACGTTTCAAATATGTAATAATTAATAATTTAACATTAAAGTTTTAAGTTATACTTTTTTTATATAAAATAAAGGTTATATTACAAAAATATCAATATAAATATTATTAAACTAAGCATAAAGTTTTGATAATATAAATAATGTATATTAAATAAATGTGATATTATTTATAATATTTTATTACAATGTTTATATCATTATTATTAAAATATTGCTACAATTTTATATTTAATTTAAATTTATAATACTTTATATATTTTAATTAAGTGTAACATTGTAATAACATTTTTTATATTTATATCAAAATTTATTAAAATAGTATATAAAGTTTAATCTTTAATTTGAACTTATAATACTTTTTCTATATTTAATTTAAATTTTCAGTTAATAAATTCTACTTCTTTCAAACAGCCCCACTAGAGTTTAAATTTTTCACCAAGCCAAACACAAGTCACCGCAAGTATAATGCTGTATATATTGCTCTGTTTCGTTTCGAAACAGAGCAAGCAGCAAAACAATGCCATCTACCATTTCATTCGCAGCCATCGTAGATGCCGCGATTAAAAAGTATCGCATCTCGGACGATGCGACTGAAGAACTTGGAGAGGTTAGCGATCTCCAGCTAGAAGCAGCGGCCGGTGATGCCGGTGAATTGGATGCTGAAGAAGGAAATGCCGGCGACAGCATAAACAGCTTACAGGTTTGCATCGAGAGGGATGCAAACGAAGAATGTAGAAAAGGCTATCTTGCACAACTATTTCTGGCGGAGGGAGCAGGCGCCATAACACTGGGTGTTCAAGATTTAATGACCGCCCCCAAGACGAGGAAGGTAGAACTTATAGTTTTCTATGTCACACAGGTGACGATGATTTTCTTGGGTATACTACTTTCAATAATTTTCAGCAAATCCTCACGTGCTACCGGTGAGGAATTAAGAAAAGTAAAAAAATTAGGAAAACTTATTATGTTACTGACCATTATCCCCATCATTGTCACGATCATTATAGTTCATTTGTGAAAGGACTGGTAGTCTATTCGTGATGTTTGCAAACATACTTACCGTCTTATATAGAGTGTTGTGAACAGATTTGGATAGTGAATGAATGTTTTTTATGGTTGTAAATATACTTGAGTTTTATATGAAGTTTTTCTGAATTGATTTGAACAGTGAAGAATGAATGTCAATTTTCTTTTTCTTTCTATAATTTTTACTTTTGTGGCGCCAATGAAATTTTATTTCTGTTGTTTTTCTATTCAAAATTTATCCTATGAATTAATTTAATACCTTACATTTGCTATGCTCTCAAAATCAGAATACAGTCAAAATGTGCTTTGGATGGTCAGACTAAAGAAGTGTGATAATGTAAACTTCAGAATGACATACAGAATTTTACTTTATAGAAGACAAAACTTATCACCTGCATAACCTCTTACATAAATCAAACATCTTTCTACCTTCTCAATTTTTACATGGGCAAGCAAAAACAAATTTCTTCAAAAGTTCACTCACCACAATACATAAGACTTGAATTTCACAAATCGAATTTCTGTTGTATTCTTCTATTTTCTCCAGTTAAATCAAATTTCACTGGTTGATAACAGGTTTTAATGTTTTTCCAATTTGAAGACCACAAGCTCGAAGATTTTCGTGCAATTAATTCATTTAGTTGAGTCGGAGTAGCCACCGGTTTACAATTCAATATACCAGCTCTATCTAGGATCGTTTGGGCATAACGATATTGATTTAGAATAGCACCTGATGAAGTATATTCGATGGTAATACCAAGAAACTTAGATAAGTAGCCTAGATTTCTCATTTTGAATTTGCTGTGTAGGTAATCGAGCGTTGTCTGTATAACTTCCTTGTTATTTCCCATTAGCAGTAATTTTGATTTACCTCGAGATTTCTGCCCGATTAAGATAATTTTCAGTGACGAATCAATAATAAATAAATAAATAAGGTTAAACTAAATAATTAAATCTCTATTATTTAAAATTTTTACCATAACATCATGAATAATTAATAAATAATAATAAAAAAACATCTAGATTTAAACAAAATATATTTGTTATTAAATTGGGCTTTTCAGCACAAGACACTTCATTTTGTTCAACACTTTATTCTTATCTGAAGCTTTTCCTTGAATGAGGAGAAAAGCTCCATAAAATACTTACGATGTATCTGAGTTAGCGACAATTTTTTTATAAAGATGATTATAAAGCTGTTACTAGAAAATTAATCTTTTTAATGATATATATATATATATATATAAACTCCGATTTCAGCGAGCTTATAGTCAAACTGAGCGTCTCGGAAATACGAACCCAACGACACCAAGATCAACCCAATCTGAGCCCAAATGAGTCCGAATCAAGGGCTCAAAGCGTTGTTGAAAGGTTCAAACTGCAATTTGAGTTACCAAACGGTCTTCGATTTTGACGAGCTTAAGTTACCAAACGGTCTTCGATTTTGATGAGCTTATACTCGAATTGAACTGCTCGACGAGACGAATCCAACGAGCCCAAGATCGCCGAATTCCGACATCATTAAGGCCTTCAAATGCCCAAC